GAGGAGGAGGAGGAGGAGGAGGAGATTGGATTTATACCTCCCCACAACAGACACCCTGTGAGGTAAAAGAAGAAGAAGAAGAGATTGGATTTATACCCCGCCCTTCACTACCCAAAGGTGTCTCAGAGCAGTTTACAAACTCCTTTTCCCTTCCCCCTCCCCACAACAGACACCCTGTGAGGTAGGTGGGGCTGAGAGAGCTCTGACACAAACTACACTTTTTCAAGAACAGCTCTTATCAGAGTTACGGCTTGCCCAAGTTCATCCAGCAGGTGCAAGTGGAGGAGTGGGGAATCAAACCCGGTTCTCCCAGATTAGAGTCCGCGCACTTAACCACTACACCAAACCAAAAGGACCAATAGGTAGCTGAAGTGGTACCGCCTGTCCTTGAGCCTCTCCCGCTGCCCACCTGCGAGAGACAGTACAGGTAAGAAATTTAAGTTACTTTCACCCCTATGGGCTACACATTAAACTACCACATGAAAAGCTCTGCTACAGAATATTTCAGAAGCTTCCCTTGGCAAAGAAAAATGGAAGAGATAAGTTATACACACACAGGAGGAGGAGCTACAGGCCAGCTTTTCTCCTTCAGTTTATCTTTCTTTCCCTCCATGGCATCTAATCTCCCCTGTTCCTACCACTTCTCTTCTGCTACAGAAAAAAAAAGCAGTCCTAGGAGGGAAAACGAGAGATAATCAAGGGAAACAACAAAAGGAGATTCTTCCCTCATATATGACTCCAGTCCGCTGCAGCTCTCTTGCCTACTAGCAGACGAGATGAACTTATGTTCTGTTTTCCTTTTGTATTCATTTGTATGTTGGTTAGTAACTTTGATTCTACACTTTTTCCTGGGGGTTGTATGGTTTTTAAGAAAAAATTATAAATGTATAACGTCAAAAATTTATTTATATGCATGCACACTAAGTCATCAAAAAAGGAATTTAGTCCTGAGCAGAGTTACACCGTTCTAAGTCTATTGCAGTCAATGGATGTAGGAATGTGTTACTCTGCTTAGGATTGCACTGTCCGTGCTGGAAAACAGAAAATGTTGAAAAAGCAGAGGTCATTTCGGGGGGAATCGCGGGGGATCGCAGTTCCCCTGGGCGAGGTACGGGGGGCGGGGCACATGACGAAGCCCCGCCCCATGCTTCCGGCCGCCCTGCTTCCGGCCCTCATTCAGCCAGGAGGAGGCAGGAGAAGAGGGAGGGTAAGTTGCTTCCTCCCTGCCTCTCCCCACCCCTGCCTGCCTGGGGCCAGGGAGGGCCTTCGCGGGGCTTCCTTGCACTCCCGCCGGCCTTGCAGGTCCACCGCCGGTCCCCTCATGGGGCTCGGCAGTGGAGCTGCAAGGCCGGCGGCGGCCGGGACCGTTGGGGGTGGGGTGTGTGGCCTTATGACACACTTCCGGTGATGTCAGGGGGTGTGGCATATGCTAATGAGTTATGCTAATGAGTTCCCCTAGCTCTTTTTCTACGAAACGACCCCTGTGAAAAAGATAAAGAACTGGGGCTTGTTTTGCACAAGGGAGAAATGAAATTGAAATGGTTGCTTTTCGGTGTTGAAACTGCATGGACGAAAA